GGACATCTGATTTAGAACAGAGTTCTAAATAGTGGAAGGACAGCGGTGATATTCAACCGATAAAACCATTTAGTACAGTATTCCCTTTTATACCCGTATCCTATTTTCACAATCTATGAAACAACAAACTTTCCAATGTACATCCCTTAGTGACTGATGTACTGAACAGAGAGCTCTGCTTAATTATTGTAGCTAATAATGTTCACAGCTAATAATGTTCTTTGACTTACACTAATGTCCCCCCCCCCAAAAAAAATATAGTACTTAGCTGGGAGTCTGCTATGTGATCCCAGGATTCTTACCTGACTGGTAAGGTAAAAAGGAACCATTTCTGGAGGAACCATTTCTGTACTGTTGCCAGGAAACAGTATGGATGACCTTTAGTAGTCACCAGGAGTCAATCTTGTCTTAAAGAAAGTCTTACATTTATCTGAAAGTGGTTGGTAAATTTACTGTAGAGCCAATTGTTAGGTGATGTTCTAGATCTAAAGACAAGAGATCACATTCTGGAACAATACATTTCTTAAACAATGTACTGTGAGATTTCTTAGCTGAAATAAACTGAATGCTGAGTGATTTCACTAGTGACCTTAGATTTTAATATTAGGTACCGGTAGTATTTTTCATTGCTCTAAATTATTGTGTGTGTTTTTTAAAAATATAACCAGTTGCTTTTCCATAAGGAACATATTTTAACACAACTCATTCTGTATTTTCTATTTTTATTTATTTTTTGTTTCAATATTTACTTACTGGTATTGGCATTTTTTCTGCCCATTTTCCATGGGTTTTTAAAAATGTTTTGTTTGTCTGAAAACTGATTCTTTCACTGAAGGATCAAGTATCATCCAAAAATTGGATATCATCATATTGCCTTCTAGACTTTTGCAAAGTGAGTATTTACCTGCAGTAAAACAAGTTTAATTAAAATCAGAAAATAAGCATCCATTTTCATTCAGAATGTGTTTTTCATGCAATTTACATGATATTTGTAAATATTGGTTACAAAGGAAAACAAAATGTAAGTTCAAAGACCAAGAAAATTTTAAATGAAATCAGATATTAGCTGATAGAACTTAACTTTGTGATAAACTTAAATTAACTGTAAATTAAATTAACTGTTCAGATCATGAGTGATTTGCAGTTATACTAGCACATTATTTGCATTAATTTTAGTAACCCTCATAACTATAATTAATACTACCATAACTTTACTAACAAAATTACAAGTTTCACTTTTCATCCCTTTTGCAGAACTAAGTTAACAAACTATCATGAGTTTTCTGTTTAGCTATATCAAGCTATGTTCAAATATATATTAATTGCAACTTTACACACTCTTATGAAATATCAGTTCCTTTTTCTAGATAATAATAATAATAATAATAATAATAATAATAATAATAATAATAATAATAATAATAATAATAATAATAATAATAATAATAATAGTAAAGTTGGAAGGGACCTTGAAGGTCATCAAGTCCAACCCCCTGCTCAGGCAGGAAACCCTATACCATTTCGGACAAATGGCTGTCCAGTCTCTTCTTAAAAACTTCCAGTGTTGGAGCATTCACCGCTTCTGGAGGCAGGTTGTTCCACTGGTTAATTGTTCTCACTGTCAGGAAGTTTCTCCTTAGTTCTAGATTGCTTCTCTCCTTGATTAGTTTCCAGGAGAGAAGCAATCTAGAACTAAGGAGAAACAATTAAATTGGATTATTTGGAAGTGTATCTCACCTATATTAGTTTTGGGTATACTCAGCTGTGTCTCTTCACCTGCTGTCATTTTTTATTACTTCTGATAGTGATTGCTAAATCTATCATGGGCTATGTATTAGGAGAATCCCAGGCTTGTAAATCTATCTATAAAGACTTGCTGGAATTTTTAAATTATTTTTTTGTCCCATCTGTTAAAAGCTTTTTTGATGTTCTATTTCAGGCACCCTATTTTTATCCCATATTTTATCTGCTTCCGCTATTTTCTATTTTGCTTTAGTTCCGCTCAACCAAAAGTGTGGCAATGCTCACTGCCTGTTTGTCTTCAATTTTTGACTATCTACAGTAAAAAAACAAAAGTATTTATTAGTGTAGTTTTAACGTAATCTGTATTGCATCAAGAATAAGTCCTAAACGTTATCCATGCAGTAAACTAAAATGCTGTATTTATGGCCATTTACTCTCAAGTGGTTTATAGCATTTTCTAGCATCACCCAGCTAACACTGTGAAAAACGTGCTATTAATTATATCAGCAAAATATTTGAATCACTTTAAAAAATGCTCTTAAGACACTAGTGTGGACACTATTCATTTTTTAAATGAGGAAGTTCGTAAGTTCATTTTCCTTAATTTACCAATGTGGACTAGCTTTGGAAAATGATCAGAACAATCATTATATAACAGCGGAAGATATTTATACTCTGATCTGCAGCAAAGGGCGGTTTGTCAGTATTTTACATTTGAATTAGGTATTTTAGATTTTTAAATAGTATGGAAAAATGTTCTGCTTTCTATATTTCTTTAAGCTCTTTTTCCTTTTTAAATTATTTCAGTGCTACATTATGTTTTATATTGTTTATATACTTGTGAATGTGTATACTTAATTAATTTGATATCAAAACAAAATACAATATATAAAAAAATAAAAAACTTGATCAGAAATAAAATAGCCTCTATGAAATCACAAAGGAAAAATAATGTTGAATTGGTGAAGATCAGTTCAATTCTAAAATAAACAGAATAATTGAAGAATTGTTACATCTTAAAATTTGATTTCTGAATACACATAATAATGGAAGTAAGGATCATAAGCCAAAATCCATTTCACAATAACTCTTTATGTGAAAATGCCTCAAATGAGCACAAACTAAAAATCATCATATTGAAGACTTCCATACAAGTATTTGTTTTGAAAAAAAAATACAATCTTGCTTGCAGTAAGCGAACTTGCGGGAAATTATAAACTACCTTGAAGTTGCCAATAAAGCCAACTGCATTTTCTTGTAGATGTTGCCAGAAAATAAGGCAAAACCACCATTTTGTAAATCGAATAATATTCAACTTCCAAAAAAAAAAGTTAACTTGCATGCAACCTGATGCTGTAAATATTTAGAAATAACTGTTGTTATATTATAGTGTTTATTTTACAAATATAATTAAAATTAAAGTCTTACAACTGAATCTTTAAAACATTTCTACTGAAATCTCATAAGACCAAATGAAATCTTAAACATACCATCCAGCAGTTTGTTTTACTCCAGAGAAAAGAAATGCTATAAAATGCCATTCCATGAAAAATCAAACTTAGCCCCAGTAAATTACAAGGTTTAATTTCCTTACACTCTAATGTAAATTTGTCTCAGTTTATTTGCTGAATTTGTCTGTCTTCTGCTACTTATGATGAAGGAATATATACAGTTGTCACAATGGACGTTGAATATTATAATTTGATTAATTAGGAGTATATCTCAGGGTAAATACATATTTTTAAGAGTATCTATGGCCAAAGCCCAAACTGACAAAATTGTTCTTTCATTTTTTCCTCTTGAAAGTCCAATGTCATATGAACATTATGATGCAAATCATAATATGAAGAAATATATTTGCACACTTCTCTCCATAATTTTCTCTGGTTTGACTGAGAAGCAATTAGAAAAAAAATGGATTATTGTTTTGAACAATTTCATAATAATGTGCAGGAAAACATTAAAAATATAAGGCCTATAAATTATTTAAAATATGCAAATAATTGCTGTATTTAAGTTATTGCTATAACTTAAATTACATAATGTATGACTGTTTTTTCAATTTATCCAGGTTGAACCCTATTTTTTCAAATTTAACTTAGAATCGACATTCTGAATTAGAAGAATCTTACTTGAATGTACATTTAGTTGGCAATTATCTCAAAGAGGTTTTTAATAAGTGGGGTAGGGGGCTTTAGGCTAAATATGCTTATTATAAATTACATACAACCAAGGATTCTGCATACAATGTACTCTGTATCTGCAACCTATTAATGGTAATTTTCTTGTTACTAGGAAAAGGGAGATAAAACAAGAGATCACACCAGAAATTAGACAGCCTTATCAATGTAACATCCCCTAGATATGCTGCAACTGTTGAATTCTTTGCCATATTTAAGTTGGAGAAGGCAGTTTTATCAATCTTTTCAACTTTTGACTTACCAAATCAGAAAAATAAAAGAATGATTATCCATCATTCCACAGTGTGTTTTATATTGAAAGTTGAGGATAAAGGGAGGCCCTAATGCTCTGTTTCTTCCTCTATTTGATTTGTACTTGCAAAATCACTTTGATAGAAAAATACCATGCAAAGTCTGGACACTTCAGCAAAGAAAATCTATATTAAAGTTTGAACAGATTTACACAAGAAATCACACAGTATCTCTAATAAGAACCAATCACACACACACACACACACACAGAGAGAGAGAGAGAGAGAGAGAGAGAGAGAGCCTAAAATTCAGACCCACCAAATATTGTGTTAGCAAATTTAAGTCCTGTCAAAAAGGTTTTTTTTAGTAAATTTACATTTGCAAAGACAAATTGTATTCATATACAAATAACTTACAACTACTGCAAAGTGCACTGGACTTCTGTGTGCATTGCTACTAAAATATTGACTTAGAAGAGTTTCTTTTTAAATATATAAAGTGAATACATTAGGTTCTGGTCATTTTATCAGATATGAATTTGAGCACATTATAAATGTACCTATAAACTCTCATACCTAAACTAACTAGAAGCAGGTATAGGTTGCTTTCCAAAAGAATTACTGGCAAGAAATCAATCCAGTTTGAAGATTTCTTCCTAACTCCAGCCTTCTATATCCAACATTAAGAAGATGGGTTTAACGTAAAATTTTACAAAATAGATTCCTTTTAACATTAAAAAAAATCAACTTATAGCAACATTCCCAATCCAGAGCCCCACAACGATACAACCCGGGTCACATCGGACCAGATGCAGGAGGAAGGCGGTCATTTTGCTGCAGCTGTTCCAGATGTTGTCGAGATGGGGGCACTCCTCCGCTGCTCCATGCCGTTGGGCAAAAAGCCGGCGATGATGGGCACCGGCCAGATGAGGGCGGCCACGCTCCACACAATGATGACCAGAGTCATGAAACAGGCCACCAGGGTGGACTCGATGGGCTTGCGGTTCATCCTCCAGCCGGGATCCCCCTTGAGATCCTCCAAGCTGAAATCCAGACAGCAGAAGTGGAGGCGCTCCCCTTGCTGCCAAGGCTGTCCGTGGTCCGGAGTGGACCAGGAGTAGAGGGCAGCCGAAGGAGGAGACGACGCGGCTGGGTTGGAGGCGCCCGGACGAAGGCGGCCGATGCGCCTACCTCGCGCCCAGCTGCAGCCCACGCATAGGCGGAGGTCTTGCTGGACGCCACCAGCTGCCAGTCCGATATGCTCAATGAGCAACGGCGGCCCGACGCGGTGAAAGGCGGCCGAGAAAAAGGCGCGCCCGCCGGGGCCACTCGTGGAAAAGAGCACGAGGTCACACTGGAAGCCCAGCGGGCTCCAACGCACCAGCAATGAGCTTAGCATCTGTCTCTGCACGCTGATGTTGCATGCCGGCTCCTCGCGGGGCTGCTGCTGCTGGGGCGCGGAGCGAGGTGACCCAGGTAAAGGGGTAGCTACAGCCGCCGCCGCCGCCGCCTTGGTGGCCTCTCCTCGCCCTTCCTCGATCTCGGTCGGAAACGCGGCCCCATTTACAAAGGACTTGGGAGAGGAAGAGGAGTTGAGAGGCGGCAGGGTGAGTCCTGACGGCTCCTTTCGTCCGGATTCTGAAGAAGCCGAGGGAGACCAGCCTCGGCAGGGAAAGGATGGCGCTAAAACGGCCAACAGTGCCGGGAGAAAGGGCAGCAGCATGGCACGGGCTTAGAGGAATGCCCGAGGAGGGGAACGAGATTGCATGGCGCTGCTACGGCGACGGCTGTCGGTTTCCATTTAGGAAGCGCGAGAGAGGCTGGCTGCGAGAAAAGGGAGTGGCGGAGAGAGGGTGGAGGCGAGGCGGTCGCTGTTGAGATACGAGGCGAATGCGCGCGTGGGGGCGAAGAGCATAGAGCGTCAAAAACAGCGGCGGCAGCGGCAATAGTTCCCAGTTTTCCTTCCCTTTGGATTCAACTCTCAGCCAGGGCGACCCCGCCCACTTCGCTCTTAGCAGCCAATGGGCAGCTCCTCTGAATCGCTAATTCCACTGGATCACCGTCCAGGCAGCAGTTCGCTCCCTCTCTCAGTCGCCGCCCAGGATTCCCCTCTCGCTGCCTAGCATTATGAAGGAGTTTCCCTGATTTCGTCACTATAGGATCTCCTTGCACACACACACACCCCAAATGAAGCGTCTGGCGCGGGGCTTTTCATCGGGAAGATAATTCTTACCCCTTGCTTCATCTTTGATGTATGGAACATCCTCTCTGCCACCCCAAAGACCGTTTCCACTCACCGATTTTTTCTACCGTAGAGCTTCCACTTCAGTTTTAAATTCGTTTTTCCTACCACAACAACCTCCATACAACCTGTTGGAAGTCAGCCCCCCAGAGAAGGAAATATTAAAAGGGCAGAAAAATATATTTCCTCAAAGGATCTTAGAGGCAGAAAAGCATGCCCAGTTTTCTTAATAGCCCCAAGTCTTCCTCCTCCAAGTAGAAACCAGCTCTGTAGAAATGCAAATGTAAATAATCCAGGAAGGTTGGGGGCCCTCAGCTAGAAGATTAAGAAGACAAAGATACCTAAAATCTACATACCCTACCCCCCCAAATTCTAAGACAGGACACAATAGGATTAACCTATAGATGCCAAAGGGACACAAGTCAAAATACATGACATAGGAAATACAAAGCCTCAAACAGGAACAGGAAACAACCTCAAGAGCCCCAGAGGGTATAAAAATCCACTCCCTGCATGTGCTCTCTCTTTTTCTTCCAGAGCCATCTTTCTGTCTAGCTCTCCAATAAACTGCAACCTTCTTTCTAAAGCAGTCGCCATGTGTTTATTCCCTGCTTGGACTGAACCATGATGAAGACTTTTCCTTAAACAATTTTTTCCTTCAACAAACCCTTGATGCCATTCATCCCTGATCCCTCCTCAGCCCAGCATTTAATAGCACAGTGTGCAAAATGTATGCTGCTCTCAGTCTTTTGCCCCAGATGTGATTATAGCCACAACTGTAGTCAGTTTTCTTCTTTCGGATTACTTGGTCAGCAGCCGTGGTGGATCTATGGTTAGAATGCAGTATTGCCAGGAGGAGTTCTATTGTCATCGGTTCAAGGTTGACTCAGCCTTCCATCCTTCTGAGATCAGAAAAATGAGGACCCAAATTGTTGGGGGCAACAGAGAGTGCTGAAAAACAATATGAAGTAGTATATAGGTCTAAGTCAGGGGTCTGCAATCTTAAACACTCAAAGAGCCACTTGGACCTATTTCCCAGAGAAAAGAAAACACTGGGAGCTGCAAAACTTGTGTAAGGTGGGAAGCTTGATTGAAGAGTTTAATTAAAAAGAAATAGAGGCTGCTCTGCATGAGTTCTTTCTCTCTCTTTCCTCTCCCTCTCTTTCTCTTTCTCCTTCCTCTCTCTCTCTTTCCTCTCTCTCTCTCTTTCCTCTCCCTCTCTTTCCTCTCCCTCTCTCTCTCTTTCTTTCTCTCACTCTCCTCTCTCTCTCCCTTTCTCTCTTTCCTCTTCTCTTTCTCTCTCTCTTTTTCTCTCTCTCCCTCTCTTTCTCTCCCTCTCCCTCTTTCTCTCCCTCTTTCTCTCTCTTTTTCTCCCTCTCTTTCTCTCTCCCTCTCTTTCTCTCCCTCTCCCTCTCTCCCTCTCTCTTTCTCTCCCCCCTCTCTCTCCCTCTCTCCAATCTGTTCACCTGGCAAGCTGGCTTCAAGCTGTTCTCCAACAGGCTGACACACATTCTTATTGAGCTAGCTCTCTCCTGCCCTTCCTGCTTCCTGCAGAGACGCAGCCAAGGCAGGAGCTCGGCCCAATAAGCTTGTCGGAGAATAACATGAGGCCACTCTCTTTTTTTGCACACACATACACATACACACACACACACACACACACAGAGAGAGAGAGAGAGAGAGAGAGAGAGAGAGAGAGAGAGAGAGAGAGAGAGAGAGAGAGAAGCGCAAGTGCCTCTCTCCATCTCTGTCTCTCTCTCTGCAAATGGCAGAGGAGGCTGGGAGCCGCAGGAGAAGGCTCAAAGAGCCGCATGTGGCTCCAGAGCCATGGGTTGCCAACCCGTGGTCTAAGTGCTAAGTGCTATTGCTACCCATTCACAGAAAAAAAAGACTAAGTTTAAATGTGCAGATAGAAAAAAGACTAAGTTCAAATTTGGGGCAGATCCAGGCAGCAGCTGTAAAGAAAAAGCCCACTGCAAGATTATGAAGAGGCATGGGCTGCTGTATTGCTGATTGCCACAATCTAAGCCTAGCTTCCACTGGGAATCCTTCTGATCATGGAATTCCCTAATAGAAACAGTGGACAGTGTTTGATGAGCAGTGGGGAGGCCAAGGTTTCAGTGCATCCTAAATGACAACAGCTATTGACCTAGTCTTTCTCTCAGCCCAGCTTACCACATGGGATTGTTGTGGAAGAGAGTATGTGTGAAATGAGCACTATGTTTCTTGTATTGAGTTTTTGAATGAATGTAAATCATGATAATGATGATGATGATAATGTAGCAGTCTACCCAATGCTTCCCACTATATATGTATACAGCTAAATAACAGACACAACATGAGGGCAGAACAGGAATAGAGAGAGAGAGACCACACATAAATAAATATGGACCAATCCTGATTACTACCTAGGAGTGCACATGCGCGCACACACATACACACGCACACACAAAGTGCAACATTTTGCATTTGTAGCTACACAGAACAAAACAGAGCTACTTTCTATAGCAGACAGGTCAAACTTGCGACGTCACGTGACGTCACGCAACATATCGGAACAGTTTTGCCATTGCCGGCAATGGGGTGGGCGCGGCTTCCAAATGATGCATCTGGCCTGCGGGCCGGCAGTTTGACACCTGTTCTATAACCATTGATAAAGGGACTAGAAGGAATTCAGAAAACCAAGATCGACCTGCCTTTTAAATTTAGCATATTTATCTGTACTGAGTATAAACTCCATTGCTTCTCCCAAGCTATGTTACTCTCGCCTTCCCTCATCTATCCAGAACAAAACACAGAAAAAGGATGGTTTTAGCTTGTGATAAAATAAGACTTAACATAAAAGATCAAGACGCCAGCTTAAATACACAAACCCAAACTTTGACTACAGCTAAAGAACCTACAATGCAGAAGATAACAGAAGAAGTGGGACATTCAAATATTAAGACAGAGAACTCAATTGGCCAAAAAATGCAGCTGATGGAAAATCCAGAAAAGGAAGTGACAACACTGAAAATGGAAATGACTTTCTATATAAACCAGAAGAAATTTGAAAAAGAAGAACAGATTGAATGGAAGACAAACATATCAGGCCAAGCATGGGGAATTGGAATAATAGGGAGACAACTAACATCTACAAATGGGCTAGTCCTTCCAAAAAAATGGCAATTAAATGGTCTCCTTTATTTCAAATAACATATATAATAATAGAGGGAGATCTATTTGACGATCTAAAAGCACTGATAAGAAAGCCTAGTTGGCAAAAGAAGAAAGCCAGAATAAGGTTGAAGAAAATTGGGGTTTTGACTGATTAAAGGGGATTTCACATTATTAATTAGAAGATTAAAGGGAGAAGTTGAGATAAGGGAAATTCTGATCATTAGATTTAAACTACTTGGAAATTAGTTGAAAATAAGAACTCTATCTGTTTAATATTTAAAAATTAGACCTAAAAGGAAAAAGAAAATTAATTATTATGAATATTTGATTTATTAACCCAGGTAATATATATAATGGTTTTGATTTATTAAAGGAGATATTGTATTATTAAGTAGACGATTTAATATGGTGGGAAATAGATAACTTTTAGTAAATAGAACAAAATTATATTCAAATAGATAAAATGTATATTTTGGATATTAGATTTTGTCATTAATTGAGATAAGAAAAATGTTGGTTACCTAAGGCTTGAAAATTATAAATATCAAAGTTTAAATTGGAATATTGATGAGAAATTAAAAATTGGGCAAAAATTAATAACAGGATAAGGATTGTCTATGAAGATTGAATGTAATTAAGATATGTATAGGCTAAAAAATTATGGATAAATGTAATAATGATGTTTTTATTGAGTTGATATAATAAGAATTGTACTAGCTTGAATACTAGACAGTAAATGTTAAGGGAAAAAGAAAATAAATATTTGATGTTGCAACTTGAGATTGGTACTAAAGATTTTGTTATCAAACTATTGATTAACCCAGTCACCACTTTGCTTTTTAAATACCTAAATGTAAAATTAGAAAATTAATAATAATTAAAAAAAAAATTAAAGAAAAAGGATGGTTTTACAAAGCAATAAAAAAATAGAGTTGAGGAATGAGGGGGGGGAAAATGCTTGAAAATGTATATGGATTCTTTTGTCAAATTCACTGGCTTTCTTTAGCATCTGGATAATTTTGTTCTTCAGGCCAAAGTCTCTAGAAATAAAATGTGGTCAAGGGTAAGAAAAAGAAGGAAAATAAATTTGCTTTAAAATGAACAAGTAAAAAGCTGAAATCATGCAAAAATAAAATAGCACAAATCAGCATCAGGGAAAACTGGAACAGCCCAGCTCTTCTTAGTTATAATATTCTGTTCTGTGTATGTTTCTCCAGCAGATACTACCGGCAGCAGAAGGGAGGAGTGATAATGCCTCTCCTTGTCACTCTTTCCCCTGTTGTTATTAGCATGCTCGTAAGCACAACTTGGCTAAATTTGCTAGAATCAGAATAGACTTGAGGCTTTAGAGAACTGAATTTGTATTTTCATTGGCTTGTGTTAACACATGGAGAGATGGGTGGTCCTTTAAATCAATCATGAAGAGAAGCGGCTTGGTCGTCGTATGCCTATTGATGCTTGACCATTGCAATCCTGGATTTCTTCATTTTTTTAATTAGCAGATAATATAATAATAAGAACTGTCCTTCAAAACATCTGGAGGTCAGGGCTTCCAGTTTGCGATCATGACGCTGGCGGACGTGTGGGGCGATTGCTCCCTCCGCCGTCCAGTTTTCTCCTGCCGGGGGACCCTGAAAAGGGTCAGAAGTCGAGGGTGACAAGCATGAAGAGGTCTCTTGAGCAATCGTGGAAGGGCGGCAGCCCTCCTGTTTGATCCCGGGCAACTCTTTGAACTGATGGGGAAAAGATCGCCCACTAAGCCGCTACCAGCCGAGGCCAAAATTACTAACAAGTACTTCAAAAGCACCACGGAGGAATTGGGTGAGATCCTACCTTCTTTGTACCCCAAGTATCTTCTTGTAAAAAGCTTCTTAATTGCTTTCCCCTGTGAGAAGAGAGGGAAGGGAACGTTTTCCTCCCATCCTCTAAAATGGCGGCATCTGTCTACCTCCAGGAAATAAAGCCTTGAAAAGAACTAAATAATTGGATTTGCATCTATTTGATATTCAGGGACCCAAAAAGTTCCTACTTTCACAGGGATTTGCTACTCTATCTACTTGTAAAAAGTAGGTACAGCAAGTGAATATTCTTGACAAAAAGACCTGCTCATAACCCAGATCTGTCCTTGGTATTATCTAAAAGAGATTAAAAGCTGAGAGAACAGCTGGGCGGTGAAATTCATTTTAGAACTGTGGAAGTGAACACCCACTGACTCTCGCTTAATAAATAGCCTTCACTAAAAGACATCTATAACCATATCAGAAGTGGAGGAAGACCAGCAACAAATTTCGGCTAATTACAAACTTATACTTAAAAAAATTATTGAAGCTACTGAGATAATTAAAGCTAGACTGAAAGACAAAGGCGCCAGCTTAAACCTACAAAGCAAAACCCTGATTGCAGCCAAAGAACTTACAATTAAAAAAACAATAGAAGCAGAAGAAATTAATACCAAGACAGAGGATTTTAAAGAACAACAAGTACAATGTACTGAAAATCTAGACAACCAAACCCTGATTGCAACTAAAGAATCTACAACCCAAAAAACAACAGAAGTGGAAGAAAGTAATACCAAGATGGAGGGTGCTAAAGATCAACAAGTACAGCCTACTGAAAATCTAGACAACCAAACAACAACCATAAAATTGGACATGACTTTCTACTTACACCAGAAGAAACCTGAGGAAGAAGACCAGATTGAATTGAAGACAAATATACTAGAGCAAATATGGGGATATGGGCCACCAGGGTGATAACATAACGACCAAAAATGGGCCAATTCCTCTGGAAAATTGATAACTAGATGGTCTCCTTTGATTCAAATAACATGTACAAGAATGAAGGGAGATCTATCTGATGATCTAAAGGCATTGGTATGGAAGCCTGATTGGCATAAAAAGAAAGCTAGGGTTAGATTTTAAAAAATGGGATCTTTTGATTTATTAGAGAGGATCCTAAAGTCTCAACTAATGGGCTAAAAGGAGATTTTGAGATGAAGGTAAATATGATTATTAGATTTAACTATTGTTGGAAAATGATAAAAAAATAAGGGATTAATTGGCCTAATATTGAGGATTTAGATTTATAAGGGAAATGAAAATTAACTATTAGGAAATAGCTTCGAATTATTGTTTAGCCCAGATAACACAGACAATGGATTTGAGACAATAAAGGATACTCCATTAGTAAGTGGTGATGAACTAGGATAAGAAATAGAAAATGTTTATGAAATAAAATAATATATTTAAGTAAGTAATAGGTGTATTTTAGATATTATAATTTTTATGTAGTGAAATAAAGGAAATTTGGGTTACCCGAAATTTAAATACTAGGGATATTAAAGGTTAAATTGGAATACTGTAATTAAAAATTAAAAATTAGATAAAATTTAAACACAGGACATGGATATGTATAAGCAAAAATATATTGATAAATGTTTTAACTGAGCTTGTTATAATTAGAAATTTACTAGCTTAAATATACTATAGCAAATGTTAAGGGAAACAGAGAAGGAATTTTTTGATGATGTAACCTGAGATATGTACTAAAGATTTTGTTATTGTACTATTGACTACCCAATCACCACGCTGCTTCCTAAATACTTAAATGTAAAACTGGAAAATCAATAAAAACCTGTTATTAAAAAAAATATCTGGAGGGCAGCAAACTGGGAAAGTCTACTGAAGATTTTCTCATGAAAATACCCCACTCCGAACTTGGAGAGCTTACTTCTTTTAGATCTTCATGAGAAACTGTTAAGGCTGCCGGGCAACTAAAGGGCAGTTATTGTTACTGCATTTGTTACTGCAGTTATTGCATTTTAGCTCTTTTTTATAGCAACTATATATAATGGACTGAAACCTGTAATCAAATAATAATATTTTCATTCATTTATTCCATTTACAGATAGTCCTCACTTACCAACTATTTATTCATTTAAAATTACGACAATGCTGAATAACTGTAACTTTTAAGTTACAGCTATTGTAGCGGTCTTGTGATCACATCATCAAAATCTGGGTGGTTTTCAGCCTGGCCACATTTATGACTACAGTGTGTGCTTCAATTCTCCCCCACTTCCCCTGTTGTGTTTTCCCCAATCTCTGTCCTTTGGCTGCTCTGCACTCCTTTGCCACTGCTTACAGTCAGTGCCTCATCAGTAGCAGGAGAAGGAAAACAGAGAAGATCAACTGGGGGTGGCAGGAGCAGCAGGGGCAGAGGGTGTTGGAGGGCAGGGGAGGGCAGACTAAAGGGCAGAGATGTGGGGAAAATAGGCAAATGGAGAGAGTTAAGGTGGAGGTGAGTGCAGCAGGCAGGAGAAGTGTATGATCCTAGCTAATGACCACAACAATAACTACCAGGACTGCCATCACTAAGCATCATGGTCATGTGATGTTTCATTTGGTTTGCTTAATGATGGAAATTCCAATTCCAATTAGGGTCATTAAGTGAGGACTACTGTGGATGCCAAGTCACTCTGGGCTCACAGCAATAACACAAAAACAAAAAAAATACAAAAATTAACCTCCAAAGTACAAAAATTGCTACAAAATAATTACAAGGTAGCAATTCAACATCAAAGCAACAGGACTGATAAATATTCAGATCATCCAGTAGGAACCATGTGGATCTCAGGGGGGAATCTCATTCCAGAGGATGGGTATTGCCACAGAGAAGACATGTTTTTTAAGACTGGTAGTTTTGAATCACTGTGGACTATAGGTATATTTGGAATTTGGGTCACATATGGGTACTTCATTTCACAAAATAACATCTGGAAAAATATGTAATGTGAGAGATTTCAAAACAGCAGTTTGATGAATGCTGGAATAATTTATCTGCCTCTTCATGCCTGTATACATTCCTAGCCTTCCATTAACTTATGAAGTCCAATTGCTGAATTCTCTCTCTCTGTCTCTCTCTCTCTTTCTCTCTCTCTCTCTCTCTCCCCTTCCCCCCTGTGTGTGTGTGAATGAATGAAGTAGATTACACAAAGGGAAATTTGACAAACCCTCTTGCTGCAACATAAAAATGACTCACCTGTTGTTTCCTGAGCATCTAGATGTCTCCACCTTTGTCTTAGTGATCTTCTGTAAGAAGAATATAATAGATTAACATGATTATTGAAGTGGTTGTCTGTGATTATCTCCAATATCCTGCCTCAAGACAACATGTGCAAGCAATGAGAGTTTTTTTAATGTGCACTGGATAGCAGCTGGAAATTACATGCTTTATGACGGTAATTTGGTGGCTCAGTTGGTTTAACTGGTTTTCCCTGAAATCTCCCCATTCAATCTGTATGGATGGGAATTTCTTTCCTAGAGGCTGATGCTCCCGTTATGATATTAGAGTTCATAGGTCCTACATGATCCCCAGATTCTACCTCTTCAACAGCACCTCTGACTGTATCTTGGTTGTATAAATCCATTAGAATAGAATCAACATTAGAATAGAATAGAGATAGAAGGGACCTTGGAAGTCTTCTAGTCCAGCCCCATGCTCAAGCAGGAGAACCTATACCATTTCAGACAAGTGACTGTCTAGTCTCTTCTTTAAAATCTCCAGTGATGGAGAGCCCACAATTTCTGAAGGCAAGCTGTTGCACTGGTTAATTGTCTTCACTGTTAGGAAATTTCTCCTTAATTCCAGGTTGCTTCTCTCTTTGGTCAGTTTCCAACCATTGTTTCTTGTCTTGCCTTCTGGTGCTTTGGAGAATAGTTTGACACCCTCTTTTTTGTGGCAGCCCCTCAGATACTGGAATATTGCTATCATGTTGCCGCTGTTTCTTCTTTTCTTTAGACTAGTCAAACACAAGTCCTGCAGCCATTCTTCATATGTTTTAGTCTCCAGGCCTTGGATCATCTTAGTTGCTCTTCTCTGAACTTTTTCCAAGGTTTTAACATCTTTTTTATAGTATGGTGACCAAAATTGGTTGCTGTATTCCAGGTGTGGTCTTACTAAGGTTTTATAAAGTGGTACTAGTACTTTGTGTGATCTTGATTCTATGCCTTTGTTTATACAACCAGGATTGTATTAGTTTTTTTGGCTGTTGCTAGACACTGCTGGCTCATAATGAAGTGATCATCCACTAGGACTCCAAAGTCCCTTTCACAGTTGCTGTTTTTGAACCAGGTCTCACCTAATCTGTACTTAAACCTTTGATTTTTCCTGCCTAAATGTAAAACTTTGCTTTTCTCCATGTTAAAACTCTTTTTGTTGGATAGGGTCCATTGTTCAAGTTTGTCAAGATCTTGTTGGATCCTGAGCTTGTCTTCTGGTGTTCGCTATTCCTGCCAGTTTAGTGTCATCTGCAGATTTGATGAATTCCTCTTCTATTCCTTCATCTAAGTCATTTATGAAGATATTGAAGAGTACTTTGCCTAATACGGAGGCAAAGCCTTGTGGTCCCTACTGCTTACTTCTCTCCATGTGGATGTAGTATCATTGAGGACTACTTGCTGAGTATGGTTTGTCAGCCAGCTACAGATCCATCTGATGGTGTTGTCGTCTATCCCATCTTTTTCTAGCTTACTAAGCAGCAGGTTGTAGTCTATTTTATCAAATGACTTACTGAAGTCTAAGTATACTATGTCCACAGCATTTCGCTGGTCTACTAATTTAGTCAATTTATCAAAGAATGAAATAAGATTGGTTTAGCATAATTTGTTTTTGACAAACCCGTGCTGGCTACTGGTTATAACTTTGTTTGCTTCTAGTTGTTTGCTGTTTTTTGATTATCTTTTTCAAGATCTTCCCAGGTATTGGTCTGATTGGTCTGTAGTTTCCTGGATCTGTTTTTTTCCTTTCTTGAAGATGGGAGCCACACCAGCCCTTTTCCAATCTTCAGGTACTTCCCCGGTGCTCCAGGGGTTTTGAAAGATATGGTACAATGGTTCTGAGATAACATCTGCCAGCTCCTTCAGAACTCTGGGATGTAATCTGTTGGGTCCTGGTGATTTATATTCATCAAGGTCGGATAGGTGTTCTCTTACCATTTTTTTGCTTATTTTAATTTTTGTTTCTCATTTGTCTTTTGCAGTAGTTTTTTTGGGTATGTTGGGCTATAACAGTGATGGCGAACCTTTTAGAGACCGAGTGCCCAAAAACTGGCCCTGCCCCCGCTCCACCCCCCTGCCCCGCCCCCGCTCTGCCCCCCCTCCCCTGCCCCGCCTGCCCAGAGGACCACTCACTGCCTCCAGGGCCCACTGCAGATCGCCCAGGCAGCCCAGCAACGCTATGGCAGCCAAACCCTCTGCCCGTGCCCTGCAGCATCAACTGCATGATGGGGTGTGAGGGCAGAGTCTTGTCTACGCTGCCTGGCTGCCATGTCTTTGGCTGCGCTGCTCTGTGTGGGCCACGCTTGAGGGCGACTCTCCTTCAGGGGGGCTGCTGGAGAGGAGGGGGTCACGGGGGGAGGCAAAGCTGGGGCAACCGCACGTGTGCCCACAGAGAGGGCTCCAAGTGCCGCCTCTGGCACCCGTGCCATAGGTTCGCCACCACTGGGCTATAACTTCTTTTTGTGTGAAGACTGATGCAAAGAATGAGTTAAGCAGCTCTGCTTTCTTCCTACTGCCTCTTACTTCCTTGCCATCTTCTCTCTTTAGTGGACCTACCGTTTCCTTGCCTTTTTTCTTGTTATTAATATGTTGAAAGAAACATATTAATGTTTTTTATTGTCCTTGATTTCTGTTGCAAGTCTTCGTTCATTCTGAACCTTTGCTTTCCTGACTTCATGTTTGCATGTTTTGGCTTTCAGCTGATAATCAGCCTTAGTTATATGCCTCTCTTTCAATTTTTTGTACTTGTCCTTTTTGTCTTTCAGTTTGTCAGAGAGAGCTTTGTGCAGCCATGCTGGTTTCTTCTTGAATTTCTTGTTTTTCTTTTCAGTGGTATTGTGCTGAACTGGACTTTTATGATCATATTTTTCAGAGTTTCCCATGCTTCTTGAGTTGTTTTCCCCTTTAGGATTTTCATCCATGGAATGTTTCCTAGGTTCTCTCTGAATTTGTTAAAATCAGTTCTTTTGAAGTATTAACACCCTAGTTGGTTATTTTCTATTGTTTGTGTTTGCATTATATTGAATTTCAGCATGATGTGGTCAGTTTCATCCAAGGTTCTGGCAACTTCAACTCCCTCTATCTCTTCTTCTCAATTAGTGAGGATTAGTTCCAGTATAGCTTTATTTCTAGTTCCCTCCTTTACCTTTTGGATGATAAAGTTGTCGACTAGGTTGGTTAAGAATCTGTTTGATCTCCCACTCACTGCAGTTTGTCTCTCAGTTGATGTCTGGATAGTTGAAATCTCCCATTACTACTGTGATAATCTTCCTACATATGTTTGTTAACTGGCTGGCAAAGAGTTCATCTATTTCTTCTGATTGGTTGGGTGGCCTGTAATATACACCTATGACAATGTCACTTTTTTCCTTTTATATTGACCCATATACATTCTGGAGGGGTTTTATCTTTGATCACATGCATTTCTGTAGATATGGAATGTTCTCTTAGATATAATACAACTCCCCCTCCTCTTTTTGTAGATCTATTTCTTTTGAACAATTTGTATCCATCCATCTGTCCATTCCAGTCATGGGTTTCGTCCCACCAGGTTTCTGTAATGCCAACTATGTCATAACTGCCTTATGTTCTAATTCACCCTGTTTGTTTCCCAAACTTTGAGCATTTGTATATAAGCATTTAAGACTTTTATGCCTGTCCGTGGGTATGTTTCCTGCATCTCCTGATTGTTGCTGGAGTTTTTCTTTTTTTCTCATCACTCCCTACCTCATTGTTTGATTTGTTTTCTTGGGATCTACGATTGGTTTTGCGTTCTAGAGATTCTGAAAATTGGTCATCCTTCCCCCTCAATTTTAGTTTAAAGCCCTCCTGATGAGTTGAGCCAGTCTTTTTCTGAGTACATTTTCTCCAGTTTTAGTGAGGTGCAGCCCATCCCTTGCCAAGAGTCCTTTGCATAGGAAATGCAGTCCATGATCGAACAACCAAAGTTTTCTTGGTGTCACCAATCCTTTAGCCCAGTGGTGGCGAACCTATGGCACGGGTGCCAGAGGCGGCACTCAGAGCCCTCTCTGTGGGCACGCGCATGGTAGCCCCAGTCCTAGGCCTTCAGCTGGGTTTTATAAAACCTTTTCGCTTTAGGCCTCCACAGCCATGTGCAAAAAAAAAAAAGGGGGTTCAATCAGTCAATTTCAACTTCTCGTGGGAAAAAAAAAGTTCTTGCAAAGTTGGAATTGATTGATTGAACTTTTTAGTCCCACCCAGTCTGCCGTTACCACTGCAGCCATGCCCACCCAATTGGCCATGCCCACCCAATTGGCCACACCCAGCCAATGGGCCACACCCACCCGACACTTGACGATGCATAAGTGGATTTTGGGTTGCAGTTTGGGCACTCAGTCTCTAAAAGGTTCGCCATCACTGCTTTAGCCAATGGTTTATTTCTAGAATTCTTTTTTCTCTCAATGGGGGTTGGCCTTTCGTTGGAAGTACTGATGAGAACACTACTTGTGCTCCTAGCTCCTTAACTTTATTGCCTAGTAATTGCTTATAATCTCTCAATATTGTACTCAGGTTCTTTATTGTGTCATTCGTCCCAATGTGAAGGAGGAGGAAAGGGTAGTAATCTGTGGGCCTAGTTATTTTGGTTATGCTCTTGGCCACATCTTTGATTTTTGCTCCAGGGAGACAACATTCCTCCCTGGTTTGTATGTCTGGTCTGCAGATGGCTGATTCTGTTCCTTTGAGGATAGAATATTCTATTACCAACACTCGCCTTCCTTTTTGGGAGGGTAGAGCCTGGGGTACTTTTCTGGTTATCTCAGGTGTGTTTGTTGATAATCAGTAGAAGGCCATGAAGAGATATAAAATCCCTACCCTTTTCCTGCTATCTATTGTTTATTATGCCCAACAACTACTGGCTAGTCCATAGTTTCAAGGATTTTTTTTTTAAGTTCAAAGGAAAATTAAATACACCTCATAAATATTGCATGTTAAAGCTATACGAATAGCAATGTAGTGCAGATCTATTTTGGGTGTGCAGTAAAGGTACAGTGTGGGATCAGCAAGTTTTAGGA